CTGGAGGAGATGAATCATATAATTATAATTATTATTATTTGCTGGTGGTTGGTGGTTGCCCTTGTGTGGCTTGCTCCTTCTTTCCTATCAAACACCTATTTCCCTTATCTGTCCTTCTTTTTCGTGTTTGCTACTACTCTCTTGTAACACCTCTTATCTTCGGCCCTTATATGACCTAATTGTGTTGCAAGTGCTGTAGAACGCTTATTAAAACTAAATTTAATTATTATGAATGCTATCTCGCCCACTTTGATCTTTCGAAGAAAAAAATGTAGAGAATCTACTTGCTTAACCATAATAGATAGATAATACAAGTAATGGACTTGAAATGACTGAAATAAATAGCATGAGGACAGTGCGTATACTGATGGTCCCACCACAGTTTCATTCCAAAAAAAAAAAGAAAAAAAAATCTATGAGAAGATTGGAACAGCCCCTGTTTATTCAATTGATAGAAATGGGAAGGAAATGACTTGATTATCTGTCGAAGTAATCTACTTAATTCCTTTACAAATGGTAGGCCATTAGAAAAAAAAATGTATTGTTCGAGGATTTGCAAAGAATTGATGATTGGGTGCAGAAACAGTTAATACTATTTTTATTTTTCTTCTTGACGTCACACAGAGATTTCATTACTGCTTGTTAAATCTCCCAGAATTCAGCATGAGTAAACGTTGTGCTCCCCCCCCCCCCCCATCCTCCGAAAACAAAACAACAACAACAACAACAATAACAACAACAACAACAACAACAACAACAACAACAACAACAACGCCACCCCCTCCAACAACAACAGCAGCAACACCACCACCACCAAAAACAACAACATTAACACTTACTCGCTCGGTAAGTACTCTCATTTGAAATAACTATACTGAAATAAAAAGCCATGAACAAAGTTTTATGTTTCTTTTTGTAAATGAACCTTTTCAGGCTAGCTACTGAGAGGCCAAACTTTATAGCTATGTTTTGTACATGCCCATCGCAACGTACGTTTTTACAGAATTGGTTTGTACGTCCAGTTGTCCTTTATGTCAGTTATCATTCTTCTGGAGAACTTTATCATTTTTATTTTCCTCGTAAGCTTACTAAGTCTGCTTTCTGCTCTGGCCTTGAAACAATTTCTGTTCGTGTGCTGTTCAGCTAGATAGTTATACTTTGGCGAATTCTCAACGTTTACTTTCCCTCTTGCTATTCAGACTGACTTCACGAGAAATCTTATCTATCTAAAATCTAAACATGAGCTATATCTCCACTTTACGTGATATTTATGCGCTTCAGGGCAATGCAATCAAAATAGTGAACCAGAAATAGCAGTACTATCGCCTCATATCTTCCGTCGTGATGCACGTTTTGAGGATTGCCAATAAATCTGAGAACAGTGAAAAAAAATAATAAAAAGAAGAATGAAAACTGCCGAGACATGTGTTCGCTAGATTCAGTCTTGTAGGCTAAAGTGCACGTAACAATTCCTCCTGCCGCAAGCCGATTCTGTACAACACAAAAAAAAAATATGACGCTTGTGAAGTGAAGGGCTTACCTAACTCACCATATCTTTAGTCGATGACAAGAAATGGAAAATGCTACTTTAGACCATGGTAACAATGGACATCTATAATGTTCTTCTTGAATTGTTGTAGGAAACTTACAAATGACTGGCAATGAAGATGTGCTACTTTAGATGATGGCGGTAATGGACATCCAGAATGTGCTTTTTGTATTGTAGAAAAAAAGTACTTCTCCTTGAGATGCTTTAAAAAGCAGCTTGGGTTTTTGAGGGGGAATAGCATCATACAATTTAAGATGACAGATGTTATTGAACGTGTTTTTTAAACATTAAATTGTTAACGGCTCCAATTCACCCCGACCTGAGTTCACACATAAAGGCGTGAAGTCATCATATTTCATCACCCTTCATAGAGCTGTCACTCCCCAAAGTTCCCAGGTCATACTATAAGGTCATGGTATTTTATTCCCTCACTAACTGAGGTTCATTAGGAAGTGATGTTTTCAAACTCAATTGCTTATGAAATGATAGGTGCTTAAATTTCTCTATCATGATCTACCTGAATCAACTTCCAGCGCCAGCCATAATACTATTATAAAATGCCTAGCAATTAACAATATTTTGATGTCTTGTCAAGATCCTTTTTAAGCTCTCCAAACGCCGTCCAAGACGATCTAATCGTTTCTATGTTGCATGGGTGACTTCTTTTGCCCAAAGCCTAATGTGGGCGAATTGCGTTTTAACATGGGTGGCAATGTATATACATGTGAGGGAATTTTAGGAGGTCTTGCTCAATGGACGTTGTAAAATATTGTGACGACTCTGTAACTTTCTTAGGTAATGACATTCTTAGTGACTCCTCACTGGATTTGAATACCATCGCTAAAAATGGTTATCACGCTTTATTAATTTTTGTAACTCGGTATTCAACAACTTCTTTCAAGTGTAGTTATATAGAAATTGAGATGGCTCTTTACCTTTTGCATGGGGGGACTGCTTTCAGGACATCGGTTGGTGTACTTTACAAGGTAATGGCATAATCTGATTGCACTTCAATAAGCATGAATGCTATTGCTGAATGGCGTATCGTGTTATACCGACTCTTTAAGAATTTGTTTTCGTCAACGAAGGTTGTAATTTTTTAAAGCTTTGTCGATAGTAATTTATTATTTTTTCCTTATCTCTGTGTGTTTATTTCTGTCTGTGTATTGATTTGTTCCACTCTTGTCTGTCAATATGCGTGTCTGTCCTCTTGCTTCTGTTTGTCTGTCTCTTTCTTTCTCTTTCACCCCCACCCCCTACTCACTCCCTCTCT